CAATCCCTGACATGGTGAGGCCACATTCAGTTTTGTTTTAGTTCACAGAACAGGCCGCTGCTGAGGCACCAGGGCTTTTCTAACAATGGTTGTGACTCTTTGCAGCCACAAAAACCTCCTTCCTGCAGCATAACCATGTAAAATGATTGGTCACAAGTTTTTCTTTCAAAATGTCAACCTCTCAGGCAAAACGTTTAGAATGACGTGGAATAAAGATGCATAAGCGGAGAGTGTACTGACTCACAAGAAATGCTTGGTTTTGGGTAAAAGGAGAAAAACTGCCGTTCTTATGATCAAACTGATTTGTTTGGATGTGTTCACTATGAAAACATAATACATTTATAATGAAAAAAACTAGTACTATTACATCTCTGACAATAAAAAAAAAAAACATGAAGCCTACAACAGCAAGTTATCTAAATATCTAGAATGAACTTCAGTAAATGTAAAGACAGAATAGATTATACTCTTTAACTTATCAACAAAGGTTTTACACAAATATAATCTTCCAGACTCTACCAATATATAAATTAAATAAGGATAAGTAATAATAAAGGTTGGACTCTTGTTACAAAACAACCTGTTATATGAGCAGCCGTGGTAACTTATTTCATGTGATTTAGGTCTAATGTAGCCTATTATGGTGCAATGAGGGCAGGCCAAAGTCATCAAACTCTTTATTTTGATGGATGTGGACACACAGACTCACACAACCACATGTACACGAGCCCCCACTCCCCCTTCCTACCTCTCTTACCACACACCTCTCCTGACTCCAAAGCACACAAACACACCTCCTGAGCAGGCAGGCAGTGAGAGAGGAAGTCAATATTTGAGGAGTTGAAGCTACCTGGACTTGTGGTCAATATCCCCCTCTAACTGTTGGTAAACTATAGCGTCTAACACAATGCGGCACAGTTTGAGTGTTCGTTTAAGTTAGGCTGTAACAAGTCATTACGTTAATTAATTCTGTTACTATTGGCCCCGAGCGTATCCTTCTGTTTAAAAGAAAAGTCTGCCCTTACAATAACACATAGAATAGAGGAGTATGCTACTGCAGTGGATTTTAACCCAATTAGCCCTTTTATATGAACTCAAACTCGAAGCCGAAACCAAACTTAGTCCATTTCTGTTAGCAATCATTTAGCCCGTGCTTTCAGCAATTTCAACATTTTAACTCATCATATTTTATCAACCATTGTTAGCTAACTATTTCAACTGTTTATTCATTGCACCCACCATTTAAACAATGAATGCATCTGGAGAACTATATAGAGCAATGGACGTAGGTTTGTGATCTACCTGAAGAAAGCTGCTACAAAAGTGACACTAAACTACCTTGACCATTACTCATGGCTTGGCCAATAGAGAAAAGACGCCAGTTTTTCCATTAACCGCCATATACTGTAGCTGCAATGACATTTATGCAACAGGAAAAATAATTTTGGGTCGGACAGTTAAAGTGACAGTTGAAAAATCATGATTTCAATCATAACGACAATTTAGGTGATGAAAGGAGGAAATGGATGAACTATGAATAAAGTTATCTGCTGATTTACATAATTCTGATTCATATTGTAAGAAGAAAAATACATATTTTCTTTCACGTCAGCCTGGTAGTTGCAATTCCACATTTTTGACTTGCAGCGGGGGGAAAAATACTGTGTCTGGCAGGAGAAACTCTGAGTAAAGTCTGAACGAAAAATGTGGCTGTTTGCAGTTACACATACAACTCCTCCAGCAAATGTCAGGAGTTTTTTCTGCAAGTGTGAAAGCCCTACTAGTGCTGACTCCTGTAACTTACCATTCTAAATGTATCTCATCACCACTTGCATCACGTTTTCCTGAATATTACTTGCCGCAATCTCATATTGGCTCATTGACTAAAGGCAGAAGATTAACTACGGGGCTAGCAGGAAACGTTTCAGATAAGGTCAGAGTGAAAAATTCAACTGTTTGCATTCACACAGACAACTCCAGGAAGTTTTCAGGTGTATTGTACATGTGTGACAGCACCACAATAGATCTACTATAGCCAGTATTATAGTGAGTACATACAAAATAAATAGAAATAATGTGATAAAAAGAATCTAAAACTGGATGAGTTATGACTGATTATGTTGTATTTTCAAACTGTATAGCTTCTTTATTTATTTGTGTGGGAAATTGTTTCGAGGCCTATTCTTTTTAGGAATGTTTATTATGTCTGTGAGGAGAGCTGTGATCACACAGGCATTGACCTGGTGTGAATGCTGCATTGAGGGCCAAATCTCCAGTGTGTGGCTCTGTTACTGAAGCCCCACATGAATAATTGGTGAGAGATGTGTATTGTGAAGTGTAGGGGGTGGGGGGGTGTAAATGATGGCTTACCTGCAACAGGAAGCTTTTGATGTAAGCAGAGAGCACTCTGCGACGCTATTGCTTTGATTTGCATTGAAGCATTGTGGCCTAACACTCTGCTCAGACACACAAATACACACATGAACTATCACCAGCTATTGTCAAGTAATTGTGTCTTAAAAACAGTCAGGAAATACAAAACTGGCAAACAGCAATAGATAGGTTACACATCAAGTGACAGACTTAAAGTGATAAATGAAACGAGTTACTGTAATTGTAATTCACACAGAAAAGTCTGAAAAGGTGACAAATGTATAAACAACTAATGTAAGTAGATAGCTAAGAATAAGCAAGTCTTTTAAAAATGCACTATGAGGGGTTTCATAGGTTTGCTTAATGATAGATGAATACTTTTCAGATTATCAAACTGTTGTGGAAGCATATGTGCTTGTCCATTACAGGATCCAAAGCTCACAGCAGTAGTCGGCAGATGTGGCAGGAAGGAACGCTGGGAGGGAGAGACTCTGGAGAGAAATCTGGGCCTCTCCTTCCGTGCATGTATGCCTGGATGATCACACCGACAAGAAATCTACAATTCAACAAGCACTTCATGTAGGCCAGTGCCTGAGAGCCACACAGCTGCAGTCAAGAAATCTGCAAGTTTCTCCAGTATGTGTCTTGGTGCATATATCTGACCCTGTTTGTAGGGGGGGGGGGGGGGGTTGTATGATTTCAGTATTTGTTTGTCTATTATAAATGTTTTTTCCGTATTTCTAAAATGAAATCATTTGTTTTCCTTAAAAAAAAAATCCCTACAGACATAAAGTAAATCCCAAAAATAACATAGCACCCCATTACCAGGTCTGCAGTGCATTACCTGTTATATATATATATATATATATATATATAATACTGTTTGCTAAGAATGTAGGCTATATGGTATTTATTAACATACGTTTGCAGCTTCTAAAATTAATGTATTCATCACAAGTCAGGGTAGTAAATTCCGGATTAGATGAATCATACAATGACATAGATTTGCACACACGTTGATTCTACTTATATAATCTTTTTTTTTATTCTCTTCTTCATATTTTTTCATTAAGCTAGTTTTTTTCACTATAAAATTAAACTAATGACTAAGGTAACTGATACAGAAACTTTATTAGGCTATTTGGTTATTTTTGGCGCTTCTACATTATTGTACAATTAAACTGCAACAAGTCAATTGTACCCCTGCATGATAACATTTCACAACAAAGGCATAGGCTAGCCTGTAAAAGTAGCGTAAATGATTCAGATACAGAAGCAAAAATCATAAAGAATGATTGATTATCGATCAACAAAACAGGGGTCTCTACAGCTTGAAAGAAGTTAAGAGGTAATGCTTTAATTTTCTTAATGTTTAACATCACTCATCCGTAATTAAAAAATACCTAAATTAAGTTCAGTCGTCCTCTGTCTCTAGCCTACTGAAAAACAATTGCCCCAATTTGAAAGTGTGGTGGTTGCCATAGTGATGTGTGCAAACGAATAATGGGGCAACTGTTAACCTTTGACTGGTTAAAAGCCCCAAGCTGAGAAGGGGAGGGGTGCGGGGCAGGGGAAACACACACGTACGCACGCACGCACACACACACACACACACGCACACACACACACACACACACACACACACATGTCAGAGAGAAAGGAAATTCACACTCATTTCCTCCGTGTGGTTTCGGTACAAATCAACAACATCCTGTCCTTTTGTGAATCCTGCCTGCCCTCATGCTGGTTTGCGTTTCAGAGGAGGCGTTAAAACACCCCACCCCACCCCTCCCCCACCCCCTCCTCCTTTTCTCCTGTTTTTTGTTTTTTTTACACTACCACAGAGGCTGTAGTCATACCTCACATTGTTGCTGAGGAAGGAAGGGCACGTCCTTGTTCGCAATAAACGGCTGTAGATAGAACAGGACACAAGGGGAGCAGACATTATTTAGCCCCGATTAGAGCTCAGGCATGTGATCGTAGAAGTTCACTGAATAAAGAGGGAGCATTATGTCATCCTCAATGGCACTATATATAGGCACTATATATATAGGCATATAGGCTATATATATATATATATATATATATATATATATTTTCCTATAATCAGAAAAATATTCGACATCACATTTGCCAGCAGAGAAAGACAGACGCTAATTCTCTAATCGCTAATCTCCCTCACCTTCGTTATACAATGGCAATAAAACGTGTAGAAGGAAGTGCGAGCTACAAAGATAAATAAATTAACAAACAAAAATAAAGCGAGAGTGCCAACACAGCCGACGAGTCGACTCTTTATGTAAATCAGCCCTGACATTGCCCTTGTGACAAAAAAAAAACCCTCATTCCCTCACCCCTTTCTTTCTCTCTCTCTCTCTCTCACACACACACACACGCCTCATTTGCCATTTCATCTCATTCATAAAAATCTAGGCATCGCGCCTGCGCAATGTCATTCGGAGTCTTCCCCATTCATAAAAATGTAACCTCCGCATTTCAGCCCTCCCGAGTCGCTCTGCCCTCCCATTCACAAAAAAGAGAGAAAAAAACGCCAAGGCATCTGCGCAGTGCCGTCCCTCTCCTTTCCTCTACCCTCCCATTCATAAAAACTCACTTCCCTCCCCCTCGGTGGTTGCAACATCATATCCAAAGCTCTGTGTCCCCAACCGCAGTCGCCTTTTACGCACCAGCGAGCGGAGAATATAGTGCAGGAGAGCCGTTCTCCTTTCGCCTGTATTACTCATATTATTCCCTTACATTTGGACTTATTTTTTACAAAACATTTGAGGAGATATACTCGCTTTCTGGACTAAAAGCCTGCGCGCAGTCATTGTGCGCAACGAAGAGATGAGCATTTTATCCTGAAACCACAGTAAGTGATCCACTCTGGTGTTTTCTTGTCGTTTAATGTTTATAACTTGTAAGCGTGAGGCTGCAAAAACAGACCAGCCAGTGTCTTTACGGCGTTTACTGCCTACGCTCCACTGTTCCTCTCGAATTACTGGATCGTAGGCATGAAAACGCTCTTGCAGACTTCATATTGCAACAAGCTGTTTCCCCGACCCGTGTTTGCACTTTGAGTCAATATTTAACCACCGATTTCGTGCCGAAAGGGAGGTTTAGGGCACAGAGAAGGGAAACAGTTTTTAGAGTTGAAAACAGGTCTTGTTCCGATTATATTTTTGACACTAGATAGCCAACGTAGGCTATTTCAATTTAAATCCCATCTCTCTATATGGCTGATTTTAAAGCCACTGTCTCGACATAGGGAAGCATAGCGGATATTTACTCCCGTGTCTGTCTAAATCTATGTCCAGTCCGTAGCTTGTACATGTAGGAGTCCACTGCGAGCAGCCCGGTTACTTCTGTCGGTCTCGTTTTGCAGCGACTGCCGAGTTGGCGCACCATGGCGATTGTGTCAGGTGTATTCTTATCAGCTTTTTCGTTTCCAGCTAACTTAAATAAAATGGAAAAAACATACCTCCAATAAGCTTCTTTTGGTTACCAAGAGCGATAACGCCCAGGATTTACGCATTTAACAGTCGTTGCATAGAATTGCCACACAGATGTGTGTCTGCTGACAAAAAGCGTTCAAAATGCATTAACAATTTCGTAATGGAGTCAAGATACAGATACGAAGAGTATCATATGATATGATATATGTTGTTACGTCGTCTATATAAACACGGTATATGTGAACATGCCGAGCGGACGCCTCCGGTTCGTATGACTCAGTCCATTCACATATAGAAAGGACTGACGCGCGCAAGCGCGCACGCGCACTCGCACATGAACTGTTCCGGCTTACATCTCATAATGGTCGAGATTTGACGATCACAAGCGCTTGTGTCGGTGCCAGCAATGTCGCAACAGGTTTTGTCAAACAGGCTTTTGAAAATCCGAGGAAATGGAATGAACACATGAGCTGACTGTCAAGCAAAGCACTGTTGATTATTCCGACACATTGTTAAACAATACAGATACATATTCAGCAATATTAAACCATAGCAATAGCCCTACAGTGTTTGGTACTTGTTCAATTTAGACAGCATTGACAGAATCTTAAACATAAAGCAAAAACTATGACTAAAAGCGCTGGGTTTCCGTTTCGAAACCTAATCTAATTATGCATCGCTAATTTAGGTCAGTGGAAAGGTCGGTGGTGATCGTTCGTTTTCCTTCAATCATCTATGTGATTTTCTGTAAAGTAGGTTAGGTCTTTTTTCTTCTCACTGAGTCCTCCTAGATAAATTGGGTGAAACTATTCATACATTCAGGATCCTGATGACTGGAGTGCATTGATTCATGCTTGCAACACCAAGCTAGCAGCTTTCATTCACAAAAAGCTGCAGTTCACAACCAGATCCATTCACAAATCCCCTGTTTATAGTCTGTTTCTCAGATTCAGCCAAAGTGCATATTGGAAGAAATATGAATGTATAGTTGAAATTACATCTTTGTCAACTTCTTGCAACTGTGTGATTTTACACAAATAACTATCGTCCCTTTCATCTTGTGTTCATTTTGGCTTTAATGAAGTTGATTTTCTGGCCACTTTCTCCTCTCTTTGCTCTGCCTTGTTTTGCATCTTTGAGTCTTTTGCATGCAAACCCTGCTCTCTGCTGCTCCCTGTTCTTTGGAAGGAAGGCGAAGGGAGCCCAACTTCTATTGTTCTAGTGTCAAAATTAGAATGGAGGAAGTCTGAAACCCTGTTGATATGCAGTCTAAAGATCAAGATAGTTTTAAAACTTGGCATTTAGATGATCGCAGAGATGCTTGGAGAAAGAATATTTTACAGACATTGAAAAGTCTTGGTCTAGAGGATTTAATAACAGCCTTGTGTAAATCAAACTACTTTTACCTCTGTTTTAGGTACTCATAGAACTAGATTTTAAAATATGTTATCATTGGAGTTGTAGTTGTATGATTTATTGCAATTGTACTAAAAAATATTCTAATTTCAGTTGCGTAGCTTTATTGGTTTAATCATGAGGTGAAACAAAGGCTCACATCCACACCAGCAATGCAAACGAGCAGGAAATGGCACCAAAGAGTATTTAAATTAGATTTAAGAATCTGACCCTCAAATAAAAAAAATAGTGATCAAATGTTAGGTTAAAAATGCAATACGGGTATCTGATTCTCAAAATGAAGGTTATTAAAAAAGCTTGTAATTTTGTAATCTCTGGTTAGGTTGAGAAAAAAAAAACAGACAAAACAAACAGTTACTCATGCTCTGTTCATAAAAGCTTTTCTCACTGTCATCCTCTTATGCCATCCCCTTTTCATGAAATATTTTGCTTTCTTTTTTTTTTTTTTATGTATACAGCCTTTAGGCTTTATTGCCTTACACTAGATAAGATGCATCCAGTCATAACTGTCTTTTTGTGTCTGTTTTTGCAGCTCTGCTAAATGCTGCTTTAGAGTGAAGACGTGCAAGGCACAAGCCTACACATGGAGTCCAGGGTTCCCCACCACATCCCCGGAGTGTCCTCCTCCCTCATATCCCAGCCACTGTTGGACAGCCGAGTGCCCTACGGCCGCCTGCAGCACCCTCTCACCATTTACCCCATCGACCAGATAAAGTCCTCGCATGTGGAGAATGACTACATCGACAGCCCTGCCGTTGTCTCTCAGCAGCCCCCGAGCCAGAAGTCTCTGAACCGAAGAATAACCTGGCTCGGTCAGAATCAGGAGGCCTTCCTGGGGGCAAACCAAAACCATCATCACAATCATCAACACCAGCACCACCAGCAGGGCAGGTGTGAGCCCCACTCTCATCAGGACACCACCACCCATCCGTGGATTTCCTTCAGTGGTAGGCCAAGCTCTATTAGCAGCAGCAGTAGCACCTCTTCTGATCAGAGGCTGTTGGACCACGCTGCGCCTAACCCAACAGTGGACCACCACCCAAACCTGCAACCCCACAAAGGCACCATGAACACAATCACGACCCGAACTCCAGGCTGCTTCCCTTCCTCTGAATCGAAAGTCCTAACCTCCTCTTCCTCACCTAAATCTCTGGACCTCAAGTCTGCAAAGATGCCTGCAGGAGGCGTGTGCACCACTGGAGGCCAGCAGGGGTTGGGGCTGATCCCTTCCTCCCCTGCAGAGAAGAAGCACCTCCTTCTCTGTGAGCACTGTGGCAAGTGCCGATGCACGGAGTGTACTCTCCCCCGAACCCTACCCTCTTGCTGGGTCTGCAACCAGGAGTGCCTGTGCTCTGCTCAGAGCCTGGTGGATACAGCCACCTGCATGTGCCTGGTCAAAGGGATCTTCTACCATTGCACAGAGGACGAAGACGATGAGGGCTCATGCGCCGATAAGCCCTGCTCGTGCTCCCAGGCCAACTGCTGTGCACGCTGGTCCTTCATGGCTGCCCTTTCCGTTGTCCTGCCTTGCCTGGTGTGCTACCTGCCAGCTACAGGTCTGGCCAAACTGGGACAGAAATGTTACGACAATGTTAGTAGGCCTGGCTGCCGCTGCAAGAACTCTCAGGCCGGCGTGAGCATCCCTGTGTGTAAAAATGAGGGTGTGGAAGCTAAAGTTGGGACGCTAGAGAAGCAGCAGCAGGGGTCATGATGCTGGACCAATCTGGCTGATAGTGGCCTTGCTTAAAACATTGACTGGACCACACAGTACTTGCTTGCTTTTGGATAGGACAATCCAACACCAACCCCTTAAACTACCCCATTAATCTGCTGGAAGATGACTTATGTAATACAAAGGTACTTAAATAGCTTCTTGGCCTATGTTTGATAGGGTGGATGATCAGAAGGGGCCAGATCGTATAGAGTTGGCTAGTAGGAACAGCTAACAGGCCCTCTGTGATGTTCTTTCCTTTTGTAAGGGAGACACAGGAGTAAGAAACTAGATTCTGGGAATTGTGTTTTTTGTTGTTTTGCAAAGAAGGCGGAAGGCACAAAGTCGTTGTACCTCTCTGCTGCTTTGTGTTTTTCAGCTAATTTTTATTATGGTAATTTACCAAAATCTGGTTGCTGATTATCGAGTAATGTTAAGGTTATTTGATGGAGCTAAATATCAGTACAACACCCTCCCGAACCCCATAAGCACAGCCCAGTGTCCCTCTGTTTAACAAAGACAAAATCAAGGGATAACCTATACTGTGGCTGTATGATAGGCTACTGCAAGAGTGAAACCACCACTTACTTGCTCACTCTCCCCACTGTTATGATGATCCCGAATTTTCTAGTGTTGCCATTTTCCCTCCTTAAGCTTGAAAATGCTAGCTTGGTAATTCTAACATTTTTTATCTCTGAGCTGTAAGAACTACAAATTTGAAGGTATAAAATACTTCCCATGGTTAACTCTGTATTGTCCATAAGCAGTTGTACTGCAGTCGAGAGAGCGATAATCACTTCAGACTATGTTTCCTGTTTTGGGGGATGACGACCAGACATTCTAAAAAAGGTTTTTGAATGCTGTTCACCAATCACCTCAGAGGTAATGCATGTCATGACCTGCATGCTCTAGTCAAATGGTTAACCACCGTGCTAGAAGTCGATGTGTCGTAGAGAAATGTGTAAAAAAAAAAAAAAAGTACACCCAACCTTCTCAGGGACTGTTACAGTACTTCTCTCTAGAACTTGGCCTACAGCATGTTGATTTCTAAACTGCCTAAAGAGCCTGGTCTACTTCCTCTTTGCACAAGCAGGCAAAGAAACATTTAGGGGCAAAAAGGCAATAGTGAATAATTTAAAACAAGTAAGCTGAGCGAGAGACAAACTGGCCAGAAAATGTTTCCGTAGGAGAGAGGGATGAAAGTGCAAGAGAGTGAAGAGCAGGAGAGAGAAGGCATAGCAAAGTCGTTGTTGTGTTTGTATCTATTCAGCCTTTGTCGAAATCTAAACCTGCCACTTGCACAACCTTTATAGAGAGACGCAAACCCCTTAAAGGATGTACTAAAGCACAGTATTAACCACCTCAGCTAACTCACATTACGTTTGCGTGCACTGCACTACCCCAGCCCGCCTCTACACGCAGTGTCTTCATTCAATTCTAATCATTATGCTGCATTGCTGCATTAGTCAAAAATTATGTCTTTTACTCTGAATGTCTATTTTAGTGGCTTTCATGACTCTTAGGACTTTGCCAAAGGAAGCTAGCGTACAGTAGCTTGTTTTTTCGCTGTCTGAGTGATCACAGTTGTTATGCACACTCGCCAAATGGTGTTGACGGCAGATGGTTTTTAAAGGCACGCTGCCCCTTTATTATAGATGGCCTTTTCTATTTGGCATACTGTCTTTGTTGATCCATAACACCTCACGTTCCTGTTGGACCCTTAACTTCCACAAGGGTTGCTAACTTTGCTCAAACCTGTATTTTTCTTGTTGCACAATGCTGATATCACACATGAAAAAGAGGAGAAGAAAAACACACTGTCCCTAGTCTTGAATGTATGAGGCAATATTTTAAAAACCTAGCAATTCAGACTGACAGAAAGGTGCCAAAACTTTGAATGATTGTGCAACTGGGCAAAGGCCTAGTACCTGTAGGAGGGGCGACAAAAATCACAAATGTTTTGACAATATATTTAGTAATAGAGCTATGCAGGTGAAATGTTCTTTGCTGTAAATAGTTTCACAACATTTGTGTTCTTTAGAAAAGACTTATATGTCCTTGAAAGATTGCATGGTACATTATAACTACAAGTCTGTACAAAACATATAGACAATATATTAGATATATATTTTGAGGGGAGGATGTTTTTGAGGTTGGGAGAAAGAAAAGAAAAAGAGGGAGGGCTGCAAGAGGGCGGTTTGAGACGAGGTAACAAAAATGATAGGCCTTTCTATCACAAGCACTTGATTTAGAAAAGTGTGCACGACAAAAAAAAAGAGAGAGAGAAAGAGAGAGAAAGAGCTCAGCTGTTTATGCTATCCATGGCTCATTAGCAGTCGAGAGGCTAAGCTAATTCCCCGGTTCCTCTCGGAGTCCTAAAGACTGTGGACTCATTGAATCCACACAGGGAACACAATCTACCCCTATCCGGATCAACCCATTTCCTGCTGTTACTGCTCAGTGTCTCAGCTCTCACTCCCCTCCTTCTCTCCCTCTCTTGCTATTTTTCTCCTTCCTCTCTCCCCTGCTTCCTCCCTGAGAAATTGTCCAACAAACACCCCTGGCCTTGATTGACAAACACAGCTGCAGTGCATAAACTTGTCATACCACAGAGACAGGAGAGAAAGACAAGTCTGTCTCTCTTCCTCTCCCTTTCTCGCTGTTTGCCCCTCCTTCTGTCTTTGTTTTTCTCCTGAGTTGTGTTCTGTGACATCTTTTTTAACCAGTGGAGCGTTTTTTTGTTTTGTTTCTTTTTTTATTTTATTTTTAAGTCGCTGCCTTTATTCTTCTATTCTACGCCTCGGCTCTCTCACTGCAAGACTTCTTCACTTCATAATAGCTTTATATTTTAAAATGTGCTTGCTAGCATGTTTGTGGAAAAATCACCAATAGCGAAAACTTAATTAACAAAACTTTGAGTCCTATTTTTTGTTTTTGTTTATTGCTACAATGCTGTGACCTTTACACATCCCTTTCTGCCGCTCATTTTGCGGCACTCCTTTATTTCCACGAGAGGAAAAGTCTCATACAGCTGGGTGATGCTACTCCATTCCTTTATGCCTTTGCAATGTCAATGTTGGGGATTACGAACGAGATCTGTGCTTTTGTTTTGTTTAGATATAACAAAAAGAAAAAAATCTCTCATATAAAAGGTTCCCTTTATAGATATATTTATTTTGAAGTTCTATTTTATATAGTATTTATTTAGATGCCAACCTTTTGTTTGTGAAGAAAGCTTATGTCGAAATGGAATGTACATTGACAATGGAAATATATATTGTTAAATATACCGGTGAGTTGTGTCGTTACTTTTGTGAGCTGTTTTCAACACAAACATATCAAACACTCAACATTACACTTCTAAATGAATATCTGTTCTTTAAACAAAAAGGTCCTCATCAACATGTTCTACCAAAACTAACCTGATATAATCAAAAAAGGTGTCACATTTTGAGTGAAACTTTCAGACTTGCTACTCATATGCCAAACAGTTTTCAATGCCTTTTAAAACTCTTACACACTTCTTACAAGTGCTGCTGATTTTGCAAAAACAATTCTTATAGGGGGCTGCTTATAGGCTACCTATATGTTCTCTATAAAATACTATCAGGGCACTGAATGCCAAATAAAGCAGCTTTAAACCAAACACTGGATACAAGTATTACATAAGCAACAATAACTAGCACACACACACACACACACACACACACACACACACACACACACACACACACACACACACACACACACACACACACACACACACACACACACACACACACACACACACAAACACAAGCTCTGTTATGAAGCAAGCTGACTAGTTTGGGGTTTCATTTTACAACATCCAGAGGAAGTCAGTGAATTGTGTGTGTTTGGCTTACAGGTTAAACTGACTTCCTCTTAGTTTTTATAGGGGTGGTCTGTTATAATCTGGATGCGTAACATTCCTTTCTGAAGCTGGAGCACACACACACTCTTCCTGTCACACAAACACACAAACACACACACACACACACAGTTGTCACCCCCCTCCCTCCCAGCCCACCTGTGCTGCTGTAACCCTGAGGTGTTCTTCCTCACCCTTCCCCTCCTTATAAGCTTGTTTCCTGGGTGTTAACACAAGAGCACCTGGGGGAGGAGGAGGAGTGGAAATGAGTGAATAAAAAAAGAGTGAGAAAGAGAGTGATAAAAGCAGAAAAGACAAAAAAAATAAAAAGAAGAGAAAAGAAGAGAAGAGACGACCTGGCCCCTGCATCACATAAAGAACATGTTTCCGCTGCAGAAGCCCTGCAGGCGCTGGAGTGTCTGCTTCAACAGGTGAGATCAGAGACCAACCTGCCTGTTTACCTGCCGGTCTATCAGCACCCACCTGGGACAGCACACACATGCACACACAAACACCTGCATTCGACTTCCTCCACACCTACATTGTCATCTACACCCCACCCGGCCACATACATATCATCAACACAGGAAGCTTCAGCACAGGCAGGTGAAGGACAAACCGTTTATTATGGGCTCTGGCAGGCTGGATTCGCGGAAGAACCAGTCCCGGGGTCGGACACTGTGTATGCAAATAATTATTTTTGCTGTGGTTTGGCCTTCCATACTTCCTAAATGTTTGGGTTTACCACAGGAGACAATGCAACAAACACCAGCCAGAAAAGTGTTGGAACTAATTTTGAAACATTTTCACAAACTTATTCTACTCAGAGGAACTTAGCTTTTTATTTGCTTAGCAGGACAGGAAGCAAATGAGTTGGATTGCAGCTGCTGCATGTTTGTGCTCCGCTTCGTTTGCAGCAGTATTGTACAATGTCAAGAATAAGGTCGTCACACCCAGCACACACACACAAACACACGTCAGCTGATGTTTTAGCAAAGTATTTGTACTGTGCTGGTTATTTCTAACACATGCAGCCGTTCTCAGTTCCATGTGTGACAATGTTACAGGAAAAAAAATAACATGAGTTATGTAAATTATCCACCTAATGCAGATACAATGTTCTCAAATATTATTATTTTGTGATAAAAGAGAGGGTAGGATACAAAATGTAAGCAGAATAGCATAGATGGGGAAATAGGGGTCATTTAGTGTGTCACTGGCCCTCAGGCTGGATGAGACCTGTTGTCAGATAGGACATCTGTGACCTCCTGTGTGTGCGTGTGTGTGTGTGTGTGTGTGTGTGTGTGTGTGTATGTGTGTGAGAAGGGTGTCGGATGGACCATGACTACAGGTGAGTGAATCCTAAAGGCTGTTGCAATTATGCAACCAGGGGATCACCAGGTGAAACTTTCAAGCAATGTTATCTGACTTGACCCGGCTCATGTTTTTCATCTAATCTGCTGCGTTTCACAACTGGGAGAAGTCGTTCTGCTGAGTCACTGTATTGCCGTACATCGATTGGACTCGAGATACCACTGAAAGAGGGCAAACTGCCACTTTAAACTTGAATCAAGCATATAGTTAACATACAGTATGTTAAAAACCACACCACACAGCTTCCTACAATAAAGGATGTCTCCCCCGAAGCTGGTCTCTGTATCCGTTTTTTTAAGAAGCAAACTCTAATTGTGACTTTCCAGCACTTATGTGCTTCAGGTTAGCTCCAGTGAATCCCCCGCAGCTAGCTGTTTAGATGACATATTGCAAAAGTCGTTTTCACATCTGGTGCAGTGCTCCCCCCCTCTCACCACCAACCACCAGATATACACACACACACACACACACACACACACGCACACACGCACACACACACTTTTCTGGCTGTCTTTTCCTGTTACCTTAATCTATCCCCCTCTCTTGGTTCTTAAAACTTAATTTATAAACTCATATTTATCTAGCTATATTCTTTTTTCACAATTTTACATTCAAATACCTTTTTTTATGAATAATTGCAATGTGGAGATTTGACTTTTATAGTGATTTGGAGTTGCAGGGGCAAAATTGGCAAGTAAGAAAAGCATTATAATCCAACTAAATTGTTTTCAAAAGTCCTATATATATATGCCCACAAAAGACCGGTATCATTGGATTTACAAATGAAGAAAGAAAAAGCAAAATAAAACAACGGGAATATTTTTGTTTGTGAATGTAAAAACCAGAGCCCCCTTATTATAACAGATTTAATTTCAGCAACCAAGAGCAGTGTGTCTATTTCCCCACTAAGGTTTTTAAAAACACATTTAAAAAAGAAAAGAAGAAAAAAGAAAGCCAGTTTTGATGCCTTAAGCCTCGAGCAGGATGATGGTGGGTGAGGAGGAGTGTGTGTGTGTGTAAATGTATGTAGGGGTATTGGAGGAGGTCATGCTCTTAAACACACAAGACCTTTTGCAGGTCTGCAGGAATACAAGCTCCTATATGAGACAGACATGGCAAGTGTATGCTGGTCGGAAATGGAACCCCTGACATTTAGACCGACTGATTGCAAAATCATGTCGCCTTCCAACACACACACAGACACAGACACACACACACAAACGCTTCACTTCCCCTGCTCTCTGTCCTCGTTGGAATTCAAAAGTAAAATGAACCAAAGTGTGTCAGGACGGCTTCAGCTGCAAGAAAATCACACATTTCAACAGTTGAGAATGGGAAAGAAGAGCCAACAGGAGAAGAGAAGAGGAGGAGGAGGGGCAGGAGAAGGGGGGGGGTTGTTAATAATTCTGGGAAGCTTATCGTATTTAACTGGCATCAGTCATAAAATCATGATTTTAAAAAACAGACTCAGAAATTATCACAAAAACACATTCAAGCACAGCTACATCTGTTGGGAAATAACATAAACGTTTTCACAACTTGTATTTAAAAAAATAAAATAAAATAGAGCATTTTCTATGGGACAAAATATTTCCCAGTTCACCGCTTAAGTTCAACTTGTAGGCCAGGAAGAGGAAGACAGACAAAAAGAAAAAGAGGAGAAAAGAGAGATTAACCACGATTTTTTTTTTGGTGCAACAGTTGCCGGTCTACCAGCAAGTCAGCCCGCTCACCATGAAGACAGTCACCCAGCCAGCAAACAAGCCAACCGCTCTGTTTCTTTCAGCGGGGCCACTGGCACGGGACCAAGTAATGCCACCAAACAAAGAGCTACTGTCTTGCATCACTTCCCCTCAGAGAGGCCATCCAGGCCGCAGCCTCTTATCACCAGGCACTGCCAGTCTGCAGCACACCGAGGCCTCCACCACAGCGGCCTCTTTACAGCTTTCTGCTAAAGGCTTCTCGCTTTATACCACCATTATACTGAGCCTGTATGCATGGGGGGGGGGGCATTTCAGCTTTCAGGAGGGTCAACAAAAGATGCAGCACATAGACATAAAATCCAATGAAATCTATCAAACAGCAGTTTTATTCTACATACATACAGGAGAGCTTTGTTTCTTCTAGTATCTTTTAGAAGTGTACATTTAGTTTAAATATTCAAAGTTTTGGCATAAAACATAGGTACTGATAAGTCGGTTTTCCACTTTGATTCAGTGAACTTCAGCTTAAAGACCGCAGTCCTGGTTCTCAGATTTACAGCTAAGGGAGAAACATTTCAGAGAGTCAAAAACTTAACTGTGTTTTCTGCGTATTATTCTCCTCTGTTCTATTGTGATCCTATTATTTTCTTATTGCAGAAGTTAAGCGTGAGTCTGGAATCTTAATGGGCAGCTTTGCTCTCCGGTCTTGATAAGTATTCTACCGGTGTAGTTTGATACTTCCTTTCATTCCAGGAAGTATGTCTGTGTGTGTGTGTGTGTGTGTGTGTGTGTGTGTGTGTGTGTGTGTGTGTGTGTGTGTGTGTGTGTGTGTGTGTGTGTGTGTGTGTGTGTGTGTGTGTGTGTGTGTGTGTCTCTGTGTGTGACATGGATGCGTGTCTGTTTTCAACAGGCCCTGTGGCTCCCTAAGGGGGGTGGACATGTGTATAGGAACAGTTGCATTCCTTTCAGATCCTCCTCTCAAAGAGAAAATACACACACAAACACACTCTTTCAAATCTATACAAACTAAGCTTACAAGAACACACAAACCTTCAGCCCCCCCTTCTCTCAACTGCTTTCTCCCTCTTTCTGAGCAACAGCCCCCCCACCCCACCCTCCCTACCCTTACCCCCCTGAGGCGTTGGAGGGGCCAAAACTGAACCGACCAAACTTGGCTTCCGACCCCGGAGCAGCGACACGCCCACTTGGCGGCGGCCTGCAGTGCATTCCTGGTGAGAGCACTGTCAAAGCCAAGCACTTCCTCTGGAGCAGGGCCAGCCCTGCCACAATAACATTTCATACATTTATCTCTTGGCTTCAGTG